CTAACCAAGCTTTTCAACCTCATTTTTCGGGCAAACAAGATGCCAGAAGAATGGAGACGGAGTATATTAGTACCAATCTTCAAGAACAAGGGGGATGTTCAGAGTTGTACTAATTACCGTGGAATTAAGCTGATGAGCCATACAATGAAGCTATGGGAGAGAGTCATTGAGCACCGCTTAAGAAGAATGACAAGCGTGACCAAAAATCAGTTTGGTTTCATGCCTGGGAGGTCGACCATGGAAGCCATTTTCTTGGTACGACAACTTATGGAGAGATATAGGGAGCATAAGAAGGACTTGCATATGGTGTTCATTGACTTGGAGAAGGCCTATGATAAGATACCGCAGAATGTCATGTGGTGGGCCTTGGAGAAACACAAAGTCCCAGCAAAGTACATTACCCTCATCAAGGACATGTACAATAATGTTGTGACAAGTGTTCTAACAAGTGATGTCGACACCGATGACTTCCCGATTAAGATAGGACTGCATCAGGGGTCAGCTTTGAGCCCTTATCTTTTTGCATTGGTGATGGATGAGGTCACAAGGGGTATACAAGGAGATATCCCATGGTGTATGCTCTTTGCGGATGATGTGGTGCTAGTTGACGATAGTCGGACGGGGGTAAATAGGAAGTTAGAGTTATGGAGACAAACCTTGGAATCGAAAGGGTTTAGGCTTAGTAGAACTAAAACCGAGTACATGATGTGCGGTTTCAGTACTACTAGCTGTGAGGAGGAGGAGGTTAGCCTTGATGGCCAGGTGGTACCTCGGAAGGACACCTTTCGGTATTTGGGGTCAATGTTGCAGGAGGATGGGGGTATTGATGAAGATGTGAACCATCGAATCAAAGCCGGATGGATGAAGTGGCGCCAAGCTTCTGGCATTCTCTGTGACAAGAGAGTGACAAAAGCTAAAAGGCAAGTTCTACAGGACGGCGGTTCGACCCGCAATGTTGTATGGCGCGGAGTGTTGGCCGACTAAAAGGCGACATGTTCAACAGTTAAGTGTGGCGGAGATGCGTATGTTGAGATGGATGTGTGGCCACACGAGGAAGGATCGAGTCCGGAATGATGATATACGAGATAGAGTTGGGGTAGCACCAATTGAGGAGAAGCTTGTCCAACATCGTTTGAGATGGTTTGGGCATATTCAGCGCAGGCCTCCAGAAGCTCCAGTGCATAGCGGACGGCTAAAGCGTGCGGAGAATGTCAAGAGAGGGCGGGGTCGACCGATTTTGACATGGGAGGAGTCCGTTAAGAGAGACCTGAAGGATTGGAGTATCGACAAAGAGCTAGCTATGGACAGGGGTGCGTGGAAGCTTGCTATCCATGTGCCAGAGCCATGAGTTGGTTGCGAGATCTTATGGGTTTCACCTCTAGCCTACCCCAACTTGTTTGGGACTAAAGGCTTTGTTGTTGTTGTACTTCCATATCAGAGTATTTATGTCTACTCTCTACTAGATGAACATCTACACCTACGACCATCAGTTCTGCTGTGGCAGTTGTACATATTTGATACAAAGCTAATGAATTGCCAAAAGTGAGATATTTCTTATCGGCTTGTGCGATGTTCATCTAATGGTTGTTATTAGGGTGCTTCTCTTTGGCTGTGGTTTCTGAATCAGCATTAGGTGCCCGGTTATGTGCTCCAAGGAAGATGTTCCTTGATGGGGCTCACCTTACCAAGGAAGATCATTGCCCTGTGCCCAGTTATGTAAAACGGCTGGCAGGTTCTCCACTCATATTAGCAAATTCTGCTCCAGATGTTGCATAGAGGAGGATGATCTTCACCTCTTTTTTCTATGCCACTTCGCAAAGGCTGCTTGGTTCTCACATCCTTTGTTTCTAAGATCAAAAGGCTTAGTACAGAACTCTAGAACTGTTCGCATAGAGAAGGATGATCTTCACTTCTTTTTCCTATGCCACTTTGCTAAGGTTGATTGGTTCTCACATCCTTGGTTTCTAAGGTCAGATAGCTTAGTACAAAAAATTAGAACTGTTTCTGAGATCATTCATAGCCTGCTTACGTCTGATCATCCACGTGTTTCCGTTAGCAGCATTTTAACTTTTATGTGGTGTATTTCGAAGTCCAATGATCTCTTTGCAGGAAAGCAGGATCTCCTTTTCAGGTTGTTCATGCAGCACAAGCAATTCACATTGCTTATCCCCTGAAACCCAAGCAGATGCCATGGCTCAACGGAGCAGTGCAAGTTCGTCTTGGGGTCTCTGTTAGGCAGAAAAGTTAGAGCATTTTCAGATACCCATGAAGGTTAATTTCCCATGCTGTAGGGGAGCAGCTTAAGTAGGAGCTTGATTTTCGGTTGTTTGCTTTGTATTTCAGCCGGGAAACGTGTAGTAGCTGGAGTCTTGCAGTTAGTTTTTGTATTGTAGTTGTGCCTGTGCTGGTGCCTTTCTGTAGTAGCTGGAGTTGGCTCGTTTATGCTGGTGATGCACTGTAATTTGCTGAAGGATACTGTTTTATCAGTTATTACAATGAATGGAAATTGGGGACAATGCTCCTTAATTCGAAAAAAAAGATATCCATGAAGTATAGTTGAAAACATGCAAGAGATAGATTGTCCATTATCTCAGCTTATCGAGTTCTTTAGAGAGCAAGTTTTGTGTAGAATTTCCAACATTGCAGTTATGTGTATGTTGACATGCATTTTGTTGGATAGAAGGGAATACCAATAATGCGGTTTGCAGGCCTGTTTCGTCAAAGCCGTGGAAAAATGCGACGACCGCTGCTCTCTTGAAAGTTGAGCTGCAAGTGATTTAAAGGCATTTAGCAGGTAATCCGAGGTTAATATAATGGTACTTTTTTTGGAGTTGAGCTGCAAGTTGAGAAAGGCATGCATGGCATGTCACCTTCTGGTAAGAAGGGCGGGCTTCTTCAACAGCGACGGCGTTTTCTGGAGAGGAGGGAGCCTTGGCGTCGCCTCCTCAGGGCTAGAGGAGGGAACAAAGAGCAAGCTGGAGGGCCCAGTTCTCGCGACGACGATCACGTGGGATTTCATTTTATTTTTTCCGTGTTGTCATGTGGCAGATAGCAAGTTAGTAACCATTAATTTGTACTTCTATGCTGATATCACTCTGTTCAGTTAAGGTGAACAGGTCCACCCTACAAACAGCCATCATAGATCTTAATCATGTCCCCAGGAATGCGAACTGGGATGTTGCTGTTACTCAAGCTCTTCAGATGATCAAAGGGAGGCAAACAGAACAACTTCATCGGCTTAGAGAAGCAATGGAGCATCTTTCAACAATGGTTTCTTTAGTTTTACCTTTTGTTGCTGGTATGGTTGTCTCAGTTTAGTTGAGAAGAGAGAATTCACAGAATGCAATTTTTTTTTAGTGATGAAAATGTATTTCTGAGTCTGCCCCCTGTTGCATATGCACAGATATATGTAATCTGAATGCAAGCTTTTCTTGCTGCCATGAATGAAAGCTTTTGTTAACTGGAAAAGTACTCTGTTATTGTATCTATCATGGTTGCAGATTGGCAGCATTTTTTTTTTACCTCTGAATTTTTACTAATCTCTGAAGCTCACAAAACATTGATTATGCGAGACAATGAATCAAAAGATTACTTTGACACGGTCTAGCTACGCATATTCGTAATAGAACATATACAACAAATAAATTTGCCAGCAAAGTTCCATATCATAATCTAGCTGTTAGATAGGCTACAGCGTACAGGTACGAGAACAGGGAAAGCAACGCAGGCTAGCGGCTGCTGATAAGTGATAACAGATTAAGTTTCGACAGTGATGACGATCTGAGATGCCAGCACAAGTGCACAACAGTGATAAGTTTCGACGACGATCAGATCTGGTTACCTAAAAGATGAACGATCATGATAGAGCAGAGCTGCGCCGGGGCGAAGAAAATCGAGCATGAATGATCATGACTGTTGGTCGGGTAGCTCACTTGACCATGTTAATGCTATAAAGTCTTGTAGTACTTTTTTTCTCTTGTTTTGGTACAGCATTGTACAGTTTCTATTTCTTCAGTCGTATCATGCCTTGCTTGGCAGCGTTGTTCAGACTCGTTTGTCTATCTTATTAATGCATTGACATGCAGTTCCTCTGCATGTTCTCGAAAATAACCTCCCACAAAACATGTTTGATTGATTAAGGATTTTCTCATTAAGTGCTGGCAACAAGAACTCCGTTGCGACCCAAACCGCTCTGTCAGCCTCCCCAAACCCCAGGGTTATGTGGACTTCAAATTTGTTGTCCTAGGTCTACTCAGATGCTTCTTGGAATAGAAGATCCTTGCTGAACAATGCAGTCCAGCTCCCACAGGATTAGGTGCGCTTGTTCAAACTGAAGATGGAGGACAGAGAATCGATGTGCTAATCTCAGCCTCAAGTTCCACTGCAACATCACCTCTGCAGGCTGAAGCTCAAGCTTTGCACCTTGCTGCTTTGCTAGCTAGCCACTCCATCTTATTCGACCAGGTGTGCATTTTTGTGGTACAGAGCAGGAGGCACACCTGCTAGCCTCTGCTTCCCTGATGAACATGTTGTTCAAAGCATGATCTGATCGTATTTTGCGTGCTAGATAAATCTTGCGTCTCGTGATCTGATCGTATTTTGCGTCGTATGGATACGACCGGACGTCCGGACCACACGATTTTGCGTTCGATCCTAATGGACCGGCACCACGTCTGCGTGTGTCAATCGTGTACGCCGGGAGGAGCCTCACGTACGGTGATTTTGCGACGAATTTCGCAGGCCGCAATTCGCGTGTTTTTCAAACAAATCGATACCGAAGCAAAGCGCCTTCTTTGTAGGAGGTATACAAGAATGTTGTTAGGCATATCAAATGGTAGCATATTGCGGTGTTACAACCTGGGCACGCGATTCGCGAGGAAATGGGGAAATGGGGAAAAGGGTTAGCCATTGCCGGCGACACGCACGCACGCACGCACGCACGCGCTGCCGGCCGGCGACACCTGTCTGTCGGCGGGACGATCAGATCATCTGTTCGGCCATCAAGATCTCGGCGCCCGGGCGGGCCGGTGGACGACGTACGGCGACGCGGCGCTGGCCCTCGCCTTGCGCTTCTCGAGGAACCGCTGCAGCGAGCGCTTCATCGACAGGCCCCCCTGATCGCCGAGCGGCGTGGGCGCCTCGATGCAGCCGTGATCCGGAGATGCCCTCGTCTGCGCGCGAGCGGGGCGGCAAGCCCCTTGCGCGATGCCGGCGTCGTCCATGTCTGTGATCCTCCCCGTCGTTTCCTGGTTCGCCATGGATATGATTGCCATTGCCTACAATCAACAAGGCTAGCTGCTAATTAGCCGGCCATGGCCATGTTCACCGCTCATTCATGGCGTACGTAAACGTAACGTGCGTCGCGCTTGGGACATGCATGTTGACGGACCTGTAGCTCGACCACGTCGACGGCGCACATCACGCGCCGGTCGTAGACAATTGTGAGGTTCCTCCGTGCCGGCGCCGGCGCCGGGGCGGGGGCCGCCGTCGGGCTTCCAAGGCGGAGGCTAAGCTCCAGGCCGTCGGCACCGCAGGCTCCCATGCCGGCGTCGCTGCCGCCGGCCATGTGTCGCCTCCTTCGATCGTCAAGCCGATCGAGGGATTCGACCGCCGCATCGGCCGGCTGGTCATATATATAGGTGGAAGACACGACGCGCGCGGCGATTTGCGCCGTGGGAATATAATCTATTCTACGTGTGACCGGCGCCGGCCGTTGCGCATGTGATGAATTGCTCGAAAATCTGCACGCATCGGCGCGTTGGCTAGAGTGCTCTTCCAACACACATTTTCATTCTCGGCAACGGTGTGTGTGAATTTCCACCAGCTAGCTTCACAAACAGCGTGGGCGTGGCTCCCCTGTATTTAGCGACGAAGCTAGACCGAGCATTGTAGAATATCAGAGGTCCCTTGAACTATTCCGTGAGAGAGGTGTCATGTAGGTCATCGAACAATAAAAAGTGCCAAGTATAACCTGTAAATATGCGACATCTTTGAAATAGTTCGAGGACTTAAGTGACGCCTCTAAACAGTTTAAGAACCTAGGCAACACACATATTGCATTTCGAGAACCTAATGACGATTTTTATAATTTAAGGATCTACGTGACATATTTGAAATAGTTTAAAGACCTAGGATGCACTTCACTCTAGATTGACTTTCATCTTGATGAGCATACTGAAGTCGACATTGTGTGGAAGCACACGAGCTAACGGACTCTACTCGGCGGTCTTCGCCTACAAGGCGCAATTTCTGGGTATGACATTCTCTTCTACGAAACAAATAGTCTGGAAGGCTTGGGTGCCAGCAAAGGTCAAGTTCTTTGTCTCGTTAGCCTTGCAGGACCAGATTTGGACCGCCAATAGGTTAGCCAAGCGCGGGTGGCCAAATTATGGTCTTTGCCCTCTCTGCAAGAGGGAGCAAGAATCGGGGTCTCAGCTTTTCTACAAATGTTGCTTCACCATAAGGCTCAGGACCTTAGTCATTGAGAAGCTAGGACTTGCCCACCTGGATGCATCTACTTCGCACGCGGACGGCTCCATGGAGGAATGGTGGGCCAATAGAACCACCGCGAACACCCCAAATAGGAAGGCCATGGCTTCCCTCACCATGCTTGTTTCTTGGATTATTTAGAACGAAATGAACTCCAGAGACTTCCGTCAAAACAGCGCCCCATCGATGATTTTGCTCAATAACATTCTAACGAAGGCCCGGCTTTGGACCACGGCGGGTGTGAGGAAACTAGGGAAAATTCTAGTGCGAGAGTAATTGCCATGTAACTTGTTGTATGTGTAACGATTGTAAAATGAACAAACCCTATTCCCTCTTAATGAAATGATGGGGAAAACCTTGCGCCCCCGTTTAAAAATGATCGGGTGATCTTTTTTGTGTGTGTGGAAAACCGGGTGATAATTTTTTGGCGCTGATCAAGCATTTTTCTTTAAAATTTTGAACCAAAAAGGTAATGAATTATTTATTTGTGATATGGAGGAAGTACATTAGTGATGGAGTTTCATGATGGTAGAGACGGGTAAAGTTAGAACTTTGATTAATTTGGAATGGAGTAACTAGACTAGATATTCAAAATGTATCCTCTGTTTGGGGCAGGCAGCAAAGATGCGATGCACAAATTCACCTACACGACAAATATGCACACTACGCAACCCCCTCACTTGTAGTGAACTTTAAGGACAATTTCAACTAACAAGTAAGTAGTGGAATAAGGCAAACAACATGCACATTTTACACATGATTTAACATGGAAAAACCTCCTCAACTTGAGGAGTAAAAAACCACAGCTATGGACCGATTGGTCCACACAACTTCACTATAAGAAAGGTGAGTACAAACTGAAGGAAATATGCCCTAGAGGCAATAATAAAATTGTTATTTATATTTCCTTATATCATGATAAATGTTTATAATTCATGCTAGAATTGTATTAACCAGAAACTTAGTACATGTTTGAATACATAGACAAACAAAGTGTCCCTAGTATGCCTCTACTTGATTAGCTCGTTTATCAAAGATGGTTAAGTTTCCTGGCCATAGACATGTGTTGTCATTTGATGAACATGATCACATCATTAGAGAATGATGTGATGGACAAGACCCATCTGTTAGCTTAGCATAATGATCGTTTCGTTTTATTGCTATTGCTTTCTTCATGACTTATACATATTTCTCTGACTATGAGATTATGCAACTCCCGAATACCGAAGAAACACTTTGTGTGCTATCAAACGTCACAACATAACTGGGTGATTATAAAGATGCTCTACAGGTGTCTCAGAAGGTGTTTGTTGAGTTGGCATAGATCAATATTAGGATTTGTCATTCCGTGTATCGGAGAGGTATCTCTGGGCCCTCTCGGTAATGCACATCAGTATAAGCCTTGCAAGCAATGTGAAAAATGAGTTAGTTGCGGGATGATGCATTACGGAACGAGTAAAGAGACTTGCCGGTAACGAGATTGAACTAGGTATGATGATACCAACGATCGAATCTCGGGCAAGTAACATACCGATGACAAAGAGAATGACATATGTTGTTATGCAGTTTGGCCGATAAAGATCTTCGTAGAATATGTAGGAGCCAATATGAGCATCCAGGTTCCGCTGTTGGTTATTGACCGGAGATGTGTCTCGGTCATGTCTACATAGTTCTCGAACCCGTAGGGTCCATACGCTTAACGTTCGATGACGATTTGTATTAAGAGTTATGTGTTTTGGTTACCGAAGTTTGTTCGGAGTCCCGGATGAGATCACGGACATGACGAGGAGTCTCGAAATGGTCGAGAGATAAGGATTCATATATTGTAAGGTAGTATTCGGACATCGGAATGGTTCCGGGTGATTCAGGTATTTTTCTGGAGTACCGAGGGGTTACCGGAACCGCCTGGGGAAGTATTGAGCCAACATGGGCCTAAGGGAGAGAGAGGGAAGCCCGTGGGGGTTGGCCGCGCGCCCCCCTCCTTGGGAGTCCGAATAGGACAAGGAGGACGGGGCGGCGCCCCCTTTCCCTTCCCCTCTCCATCTCCTTCCTATTCCCTCCGGTGGAATAAAGGAAAGGGTGGAATCCTACTTGGACTAGGAGTCCAAGTAGGACCCCCCCATAGCTCCCCCTCCTGGCCGCCAACCTCTCTCCCACCTCCTTTATATACGTGGACAGGGGCACCCTGTCGGTGTCAAAACCGGCAGATCTCGGGTAGGGGGTCCCGAACTGTGCGTCTAAGGATCGATGGTAACAGGAGACAGGGGACACGATGTTTACCCAGGTTTGGGCCCTCTTGATGGAGGTAATACCCTACTTCCTGCTTGATTGACTTTGATTAGTATAGGGGTTACAAAAGTTGATCTACCTCGAGATCGTATGTCGTGGTCTAAACCCTACAAGTATGATGAGTAATGTCATAATAATCTACCCACTAGCCTGGCCTCGGCTTATATAATGTACCAGTGGCCTAGGATAACAAGAGTCCTAGTCGAATACGCCGGTGGAGAGGAGTCCTTGTCTTGATCACCAAGTCTTATGGAATCTTCCTCGTGTATACATCGACTGTCTGAACTGGCCCATGAGCATACGGCCATGAGGGTCCTTGGCCCAGTCCAACTGATTGGGAGATGACATGGTGAGTACCCCCTAGTCTAGGACACCGTCAGTAGCCCCCTGAACCGGTCTTCAAGTTGGGGACGCTCCTCGATTCTTTCGAAATGTTCTTCATCTTCAATCGTCGGTCTTGAAAACTGGTTCAACAAATCTTCCCATCTTCGATCTTGAGGATCGTCGAAGTAAATCCAAAGAGTTTATACGTCGGGTATCCGAGGAGCCCCTTTAAGTTCTCGGCCTTTATCAATGCCTTATTATTTTTATGCCACACCTCGGGTTTGAAGTTGTTCCCGGGCGGCAGCGTCCTCTTGCGTCCGAGCTCCCACGCCGGACTGCATTCGAGGTATCTTTTGCAGCCGAGCACCAACGCCGGACTGCTTCCGGGTTCCAACGCGGGAATGTATCCAAGCTCCAACGCCGGACTATGTCCAAGCTCCAACGTCGGACTGTATCCGAGCTCCAACGCCGGACAATATCCGAGGTGTCATAAATCACCTTGGTTCAAAAAAGTTGAAGGAGTTTAGCCGAGCTTAATGCCGAAAATGCCCTCTATGGAGCACGCCACTAGCGCCCAAGCTTTATGCCGGACTGTGATACGTCTCCAACGTATCTATAATTTTTGATTGCTCCATGCTATATTATCTACCGTTTTGGACATTATTGGGCTTTATTATCCACTTTTATATTATTTTTGGGACTAACCTATTAACCGGAGGCCCAACCCAGAATTGCTGTTTTTTGCCTATTTCAGAGTTTCACAGAAAAGGAATATCAAACGGAGTCCAAATGGAATGAAACCTTCGGGAACGTGATTTTCTCACCGAACATGATCCAGGAGACTTGTACCCTACGTCAAGAAATAAAGGAGGATGCCACGAGGTAGGGGGC